AGGCTGTAACATATTACTGACAATGACCTGCACACAAGAAATGGTGGAAAAGTCATCATGAAGGACATGGACAACTGGAAAAGGAGGCAGGTCAGTTGTACAGTAAGAATGATGGATGGCCTGCACACTGCATAGTATTCATAGTAAGTCAATTAATAAACATGTATTAAGCACCTCCTGTGCACCGGGCCCTGTGCGGAGTGCTAGAAATACAAAGAAAAGAAAAAATAGTCCCTGCCCTCAAGAAGCTTACAATCTAATGGAGGAGACAACATGCAAGCAACAACGTACAAACAAGATGTATACAGGATCAGTTGGAGCTAATCAACAGTGGAAAGGCACTGGGATCAGGGGGAGATGGGATTAAGAAAAGCTTCTTGTAAAAGGTGGGATTTTAGCGGAGGCTTGAAGGAAGCCAGGGAAGCCAGGAGGCAGAGATGAGGTGGAAGAGAATTTCAGGCATATAGGATAGCCAGTGCAAATGCCCGGGGGTAAGCAGATGGACTGTCTTATGTGGGGTGCAGCAAGGGGACCAGTTATTGGATTACAGAGTACACATTTGGGGGAAAGGGTATAGGGTTTAAGAAGACTGGAAAGATGAAGAAGGGGTAGGGAGGGCTAGGTTATGAAAGGTTTTGAATGCCAGAGTAGTCTATATCTGATCCGAGATGTGAGAGGAAGCCACTGGAGTTTACTGAATAGGGGTTTGCCACGAACACACTTGTGCTTTAGGAATATCACTTTGGCAGCTGAGGGAAGAAGATGAACTAGAATAGGGACAGACTTGTGGTAGGGAGACCAACCATATTCTATTGAAAGACCTGACAAAAATACATTAGAAGTAGCCTCCATGGGGGCATTAGGGAAAGATGTGCATAAGAACTGCAAGTAATGAGGAGATGCTGATAGGCAGCCATATGCACAGGCTGGTGAAAGGGGACTATATCCTGAGAGCACAGATCCCTGGACGCATGGAAAGATGGAATGCCCTACATCTAGGTTTATGAACCTCACCCAGAAAACATGTTAGTTTAGGAAGTTTTTAAACACATGCCCAATAAACACCATATTCCAGAACAGATCCAAAATGGACACATGACCTAAATATTAAAGATTAACTTTGAAGAGAAGTACATTATATTACCTCTCACAACTTTAGTGGGGAGGGGGAGGAAGGTGAATCTTTAACCAAACGAGAGGTAGACACGATAACAAAAGAAGAGACATTTTTGATTACATGAAACTGTAAGTTTTTGCATGACTTTTTGTGGCAGCCAAAACTGGAAACTAAGTAGATGCCCATCAATTGGAGAATGGTTAAACAAATTGTGGTACGTGAATGCAATGGAATATTGCTGTGATAGAAGAAACAATGAGCAAGACGAATACAGAGAAGCCTGGAAAGGCTTATATGAACTGATTCAGAGAGAAGTAAGTAAGCAGAGTCAAGAAAACAATACACACAATGACTACAACAGTGTAAACAGAAAGAACCACCACCACTACTACTACTACTACACACACACACACACACACACACACACAATGGAAAATGAGTGTTGTGAAATTACAAAGAACAAGCTTCAACACAAAGAAGACATACAAGAAGACACACCCTTCAACTCCTATGGAGAGGCTGGTGGAAGGGGGTGTCCACAAGTATGAAAAATTGAATATATTGTCAGTTTTCCTCAATGTATTACTAATATTTTCAATGTGGAGGATGGAGATCCTTTTTCAATTCAATAAACCACTAATTTATTGATCAATTTTATTTTTTACTCTTCATTTTCTTTTTTTTTTAAGTCTTTGTCATAATAGATGGCTATGGAGAAGGTAAAAAATACAGGGGGAAATTTAGGTGATGTCAAAAAAAAAGAGGTTAATTTAAAATTTTTTTAAAGAGAAAAGTTTTTGAATGAAAAAAATTAACACATCCAGGGTAAGAAGCGAAGTAGTCTATTACAGAAAAAAAATCTTTGGATTAAATATTTCTGGTAAGGTTCTGATACTCAAGTTATAGATTCAACAAACAGAAATATATAATACCAAATGTCATTCACCAATATATGTCTCCTAAGGAAAACAATGTTCAAGAAAAAGAACTGCAAACTATTAACAATCATTTAAAATGATGTTCCAAATCACTGATAAGAGAGCTGTCTATCAAAATGATCTTGAGACTGTATCTCACACTCATCAAATTGCCAGAGATGACAAAAGATATGAGCAGTCAATGTTGGAGAGACTATGGAAAGATAGACACACTAAATACACCATTGGTGGAGCTGTGAATTGATCCAATAGTTCTGAAAAACAACTTGGAATCATACCAGGAAAGTGACTGGAATATTTACTAAGTTTTACTAAGAAGTGTTGTTAGGAAGATACCCTAAGAAGGTTAATGCCAAAAAAGAAAAGTGCCATATATTCCAAGAAAATTATAGCAGCACTTTCTGTGATAGCAAAGAACTGGAATAAAATAGATGCCTATCAATTGGAAAATGGATAGGCAAATTGGGATATATAAATTTAATGGAATATTACTACATCCAAAGGAACAATATACATAACGAATATAGAAAAGCATGGAAAGATTTCAATGAACTGATGCAAACTGGAGTAATCAGAACCAGGAAAACAATATATACAATGACTACAACAGTGGAAATGGAAAGAATAACAACAAAATAATCAAAACTGAATGTTGTCACATTATAATGACCAAGCTTGGCCCCAAAGAAGAAATATGAGATATCATCTCCCTCTGCTTCTCTGTTGACATATGGGTTCATGGGTGTGAAACTGCATACAATGTCAGACTTTTTTTGATAAGCTGATTTGTTGTTCAGTCATTTTCAGTCATGTCTGACTTGGTGACCCCTTTTGGGGTTTTCTTGTTAAAGATATTGGAGTGGTTTGCCATTTTCTTCTCCAGCGCATTTTACAGATGAGGAAACTGAGGCAAATAAGGTTAAGTGACTTTCCCAGGATCACACAGCTAGCAAGTATCTGAAGCCAAACTCAAACTCAGGAAGATGAGTCTTCTTGACTTCAGGCCCTGTACTCTATCTACTTTGCCACCTAACTGCCCTGGTAATCTGATTAGTTTTGCTGGTTTTCTTTATTCCCCTTTTTTCTTCTTCTTTGTTATAAGGGATGGTTTTCAGGGAGAGGCAAGGATACATTGGAAAATGGAATATAAAAGTCAAGATTAATAAAATTTATTTAAAAAACACTTACATAATAAAACTGCTAAGCAACAAAATCAAGATGCTAATAAAGTAAAATATATTAGAGGTTAAGTTTTGAAAGATTAAAACAAAGGCAAAAATAAAACCTTGTTGGACAATAACCTTGCTAAAGAAAGCTAAACTTTTCTCATCAAGGGACTCAAATGAGCAGATAAAGAAATATGCCTTTTTTCATCTTCAGCATTACAGGAATAGTCACGCTTCCTACTATCAAATGATAACACAGTAAATGGCAATTTAAAAAATCATGTGAATTTTTATGCTAGAAGGGTGGCATTTACTTTTTAAAAGTTCAAATGCCATGCCAAATGATAGATTGACAACCTCCTCCCAATACTTAACAAACCTCTTGCCCTTTACAACCTGACTGCAACCTACTATTCCCATTTCATGATCCATCATTCCTGCTCTCATTCTCTATGGTCCAGCTAAACAGGACTTCTTAACTCTTTCTCATATGAGACACTCCATTTCCCAGCCTCATGTCCATGCACTGACTACCACCTTATGCCTAGAATGCCCTCCTACCCTACCTCCATCACTTAAAATCCTTTCGTTTCCTTCACGGTTAAGTGTAGGCACCAGCTTTTTCATAAAACCTTTCCTCATTTCCCCAACTATTCATGCCTTCCCATATACACACATATACACTTATGTATGTATATGTGTATGCATATACACATATAAATGTATGTATTTATGTGTGTATGTATGTATGTATGTATGTATGCATGCATATGTTTCCACTGACAGAATGTAAACTCCTTGAAGGCAGGAACAATTTCATTATCACCCTTTGCCCGGCACTTATAAAAGATTTCTTGATTGACCAACTGGTTACTCTGATGGATCCATGATTTCATCAGTGTGGGTTGTGTCTTGACCAGTATGGATTACAATACATCTGCTCCTTCTTGACCTACGTGACCCATGTCCAGGTCTTTCTATAAATCACCTCAACAAGAACTATCACCTGTCCCTCACACCCCAACACACACAGTGGGGGTCCTCCTCAAGTTTTTTAATATTATAACACTGATATTGTCCATTTGTTATCGCACCGAAGAGCAACCTAATTAAAGTGGCAAGTGTCTAGCCAAAGTGAGGGCTCGCCAGGAGAGCACAAGAGCTGGCTGCCTTTCACCCAGAGTCCTTTGGTGAGCCAGAGAGAATGCTGACCTGGGAATGCTGCCCCCAAAACCTCCTGCAGCTCCTTCTGATTTTCCCTATTAGCCAAATTTAGCC